TCACACACACACACAGACACACACAGACACACACATACACAGGCGCAGCATTTCCAGAAAGCAACGCCATTGGACTTGATCCAAGAATGCCCCCCCCCCTCTACGTCACGTGTAATCCTATCGAACACAAATTGGCTCTAAGATGTTGCCAAGAGCACGAACTTCGGAACTGAAGTTTGTGGTCTCTTCCGGGGCGCAATCCACCACACACAAAAAAATACATTATAAAAAAATTACCGTGATTTCTAGAATATTAAGACAAGTTGGATTATCAATGAAGATTAAACCGAATCGTCAAAATTGCTTTGGTTCCTTCCTTCCGATCCACGCGATGGGATGGTTTTACGTTATCAGCGGTATAATTCATGACATTAAATCCAATGCAAACAAGTTTACGTTATTGTTAGTTCCTTGCTACATCTCCTACGGTTAAGGAATATAAATAACAAGTCGTGAACCATAATCATTTTTTTTTTTGGTTAAAAACTCTTCTGTTCTTTGAAATAGATTTTAAAAGCAACTTAGGTGCGGTTTTCATTTTAGAACAGCGACTTCATGACGTCAGTAATTTTTGTACGAACGCCCCAAATGTTCTCTTTTAGATCTAAAATAAAAGGTTTCAGTCGTGCTTTCTGAAGAAAAAATATTACAGCGCATGGCAATAAATGCGTTGTTTTTTTTTTAAATCTAAGCTTCTCATCTCAAAAACTGGGCCGTATATTATTTCAACTGTTAATTTAAAAAGCCCCGTTGAGGCCCCCGGCTTAAAAAAAAAAAAGACTTTGCAACAAGAACACATCGAAGTAACACATCACCGCCGGGACATCTTCTAGTGCCAGTGTGGCGCAAGGGATAACTTGGGATAAAATTAAAAACTGAGAAGTAAAGAAAAGTTAGAAATACTTTCCTGATTCAAAAGGCAAGTGATTTGATTGTAATATAATTTACTTTTTTTTATCTCAACTCTTTACCGAATTTCTCCAAGAAATTCTGTGTTCTCTTTCCTTAAGCTGCATTGCAAAGTATCAATGTTCAGGTAACTGTTCATGGCGGTGTTATGATGTATTCAGTCCTAGTATATATCACCCTCTTCTCCTTCTTGTTTCGTAAACGTCAAAACTAACTAATGTATATATTGAATATAAAATTAAAAATTATGTTTGATGTGCTTCATTTCTTTGATGTTTTGTTTTTTTTTAAAATTCCATCAGTTAATATTGAACATCGCAATGTGGAAAATATAATTGCAGGTGCTGAATAAGTCAACATTTAAAAAAAACTAGTTTAAGAACTCTTTTCCCAAGTATTGAGCTTAACCCTCACTTTACAAGAGGGTTGAGAAATTAATTTAAAACTAGTTTTCATGTCTCTATGGCACACCATTGACATTTTTAGAAAGCTTTTGAGAACTTCGTAACTTGTGAAGCTTAAAAAACAATATTCGTAAACAAAAAAATAAAAATCAAGTACTTCCATAATTTCCAACCGAGTATGTGCTCTAGCGATAGTTGTATATGTCTTCTATGATAAAAAAAATTTAACTTCAGCCACATTAAAATGACTCACGGTTGACTTGAGAGATCCGTCATTCAAATGTAGGTCGTTAAGCGACCTCAGGTTTCCGTGTCGAGTTTGCACGGCTTAAATTACCTCAAGGGCTCTCAACTTAACCTACAGTGCCATGTTGACCGCGTAGTCATCGACATGGATCGATCCGACGTCATCCTTTCTTGAACGCGAAATATTACGAAAATAAAAGTTGAAAAAGTGTTAGAAGTGTAGCTTCCGGCGACACTTAGCGCACTTTGCCAACAAACACACGACAAGATGATATCCACATGTTATACATATATATGTGCGTCTTAGTTGGGCAGACAAAGCTTGAAAACATACAGCCAAATGGCACATAATTGTTGAATCATCATCGGGTTTCGACTTGTTAATTTGCTCAGGAAATCTATACAATTGTATATTTTATCATTGTCAAAACACTTTTTTTTTCTATTTGTAATAATAATCGATAGCCAATATGGTTTATATTTATAATCATTCCAGGTAATTAGAGGTTACCGCACCCCGTCTCATACGGTAACTAGATTCGACTACCTTTAAGATAACTCCGTGCAAGTTACTTACAGATAACCTGTTCTGGCTGAGGAAACCAGTCTCTGATTCTTGGATGCCGTTAGCTGAATCGGAACAGAACGCTTCCAGATGCCTCCCTAGATAGAACATTGATCATCCTAGTTATTGTCTTGGCGCAATAGAGTCTGCGTTCAGGCCAAGTAGCAGATACAGTGAGAATGAATTACTTATTTATCTTCTTTTTTTTTTTTTTAAAGAAGATTTAATAATATAGAATTACATTTATTATCGTGCTAGAAATTATTCAACACACATAACAAATAAAGTGATAATTGCTAAGAAGGCAAAAAATAATCTCACACTACTAGAGCTTAGTATGACACTGTCATTACAAGTTAACACTAGGAAATCCCCTTGTGAACCAGATCATTTCAAGGTTGTTTTTTTTAAAGGCACTAAAGGAATGGGTGTTAAATAAAATTCATCGTAAGTACTTTGCTGAAAGTTATTTGTGAAAAAATTCAACGCAAGGGAAATTAATCGCGGGTGAAAATGGCTTCGTGGGAAAATCAATCGCAACAATTTGAATCGATTGAACGTACACGGGACATTCGTGGCAGGGAAATTCCATCGCAAGAGCGCATCATGGACAGAAACAAAATTATGTGCGATCTATATTGCAAAAAGCAAAATATACGTGCTAAATTATCGAATTTAAGCAAAGCCTGTGGAACGAAACTTTGTTTATAAATGCTAATTTTACCCTAGCTAATGTAACAACATATTGCCAAGTTGTCAAATTTGTACATTAGACCATGTAGAATGGCCGTCTAGTTCTTCAATGCTTTGTTCTCTAATATGTCAAATTTAAGTCCTTGAAAATAAAAAAAAAAGAAAGAAAATTTTACGAAAACCGAAGAAAAAAAATCGCGAATTATTAGAAGATTATTTTTGCTCATTTTTAAAAGACTTTCATAAAAGCATGGTATGTCCTAACTAAAGTGGTATATTATGGCATGGTATGTACTAATTAAAGTGGTATATTATGGCATGGTATGTACTAATTAAAGTGGTATTTTATGGCACGGTATGTTCTTATTAAAGTGGTATATTATGGCACGGGATCTCCTAACTAAAGTGGTATATTATAGCATGGTATGTCCTAACTTAAGTGTCATATTATGGCATGCTATGTCCTAATTAAAGTGGTATATTATGGCATGGTATGACCTAACTAAAGTGGTATATTATGGCACGGCATCTCATAACTAAAGTGGTATATTATGGCACGGCATCTCATAACTAAAGTGGTATATTATGGCACGGCATCTCCTAACTAAAGTGGCATATTAATGGCACGGCATCTCCTAACTAAAATGGTAAATTATGGCACGGCGTCTCCAAACTAAAGTGGTATTTCATGACATTATGATATAATGAGGTATTAGGCACATACTGCTCCACGCTTTATAAAAAACAATTCTTGAGTTCTCAAAACTCTCTTCACTTACCTCCCTTCTCCCTTTTCCTCCAAATGTATCTTGTCAACATATTAACAGTGTTGATTTGTCAACCTCGTCCCTCCAGGTCTCCTTTTCATTCTCCCCCTTTCCTAGCCTCTCTTCTACTCTTCCTACCTTCACCAGACCACGTATATCCCATATGACGCCTTTACCGTCATTTCTCACCCTTTAACTTCACCTCTTAATCTCTCTTCTGTTTCCTGTATCCCCCCCCTCAACTATGAGTTAAACATCCGAATCTCTAACACAAACTATCCCCCTCCCCCCAACCAAATATGAACTAACCACCATCGTAACAAGAACAAACCCTTCCCCCCAAAACATGAACTACCAAATCCTCTTTGAACATGAACTGANTACAAAATGAGCAAAATTGTTCCCCTTAAATATTTAACTTCTCATTCTATTCTCCCGCCTATATCTCCCTTTTACCTCTACTCTACTCTTACCCTACACACCACCTCCAATAAAATCTCCCCGAAATTCTTCCATACCTCTCTCCATACCAATACCCTCTCCCACTGATACTACGTCTCTCTACACCAATAACCTCTAATCCCTGATGCTAACTCTCTCTCTCTCTCTCTCTCTCTCTCTACACCAATACCCTCTAACCACTCTTGCTAACTCTCTCTCTCTCTCTCTCTCTCTCTTCGCCAATACCCTCTAACCACTGATGCTAATTCTCTCTACACCAATACCCTCTAACCACTGAAGCTAACTCTCTCTACACCAATATCCTCTAACCATGGAAGCTAACTCTCTCTACACCAATACCCTCTAACCACTAATGCACACTCTCTCTCTCTCTCTCTCTCTCTCTATCTAGCTTTGTCGATGAGTTTAATTTTCCTCAACACATATTTTTTTAAAGGGTATAAGGAGGTTGGTCTTCATTTCTAAGCTTCAAAATAATCAGCATTGGTCTTGGGCTGAGCTGTGGTTTAACTACGCATCAAATATTTTTTTTAAATTAGCATTATCTGTAAAGAAAATGTGAAGACCATATTCTATATATATATACATATATGTGTGTGTTTAAATATCATCGAAATGACGTAATCTGAGTGCTTGGTTGTCAAACGTTTTATTTTCTTTTTTTATTTCAGATGACAAGGATAATAAAGGAAAAAATCGCTTGAAAAGTTGTTTTTTTTTAAAAATCGAGCAGTGATCTTAGAGTCCATGAAACTCTTCTCGTAGTGCAGCGTTAGTAGATATCATTTTTTTTTTAAAAACACACAAAAAACACATTTAAAGCCAGCGATGAACGTCACGGATTTCCAATCGTCTGGTCTTGGTGATATTACGTCGTGGGAAGCCTTCATGCTTAGCGGCTTCATCCTCATCAAAATCTTACACCCGCCCATCCTTTTACTCGGGGTATTCGCCAATCTCATCAACATCTCCGTCTATTTGAAGATCGGGCTGAAGGACTCCATCAACATCTGCTTCTTCGTGCTCTCGTGCGCCGACCTGACCTGCGTGGTGATGCTGGGGGTGCAGGACGTCATCGCGATATTCCCAGAGAGCATCCAACTGGTGTGGCGAACCGACGGCCTCTCTCTGAATTTCCTCGTGGCTTTTTACTACGGCGCTTTCTACGACGTTTCTCAAGGGATCACGACGTTCATAGCCGTCCAGAAATGCTGGTGCGTCGCGCTGCCGTTTCGCTTCAAAGGCACGTTCACGACGGCTCGGACGGCCGTCATCGTGGCCGCTGTTTCGGTCGCAGCCTTATCGATGAATCTGCCCGTGTTGAGCACGCAGGGTCTGCAGGAAATAATGCTCCCGGGCGCCAATGCGACTCTGCTTTTGTTATGGACGGCTGAGAGCAGGCAGCAGATTATCCCCATCGTGGGGCTCGTGTCTTTAATCTACACCAACACGTGTCAGTTCACGGTCATCTTCTGCTTGGTGGTCCTGGCGTCAAACTTACGGGCGTCGTCGAAGTTCAGGAACTCATCGACTGTTAGCACCGTGGATCCACCGGCAACCTCCGATCTAAAAATTGACGTCACCAAAGCAAGTGACGTCACCAAAGCCAGTGACGTCACCAAAGGCAGTGGCGTCACTAAAGCCGGTGACAAGAACTCGAAGCAAAATTTGATGACTGACAGATTAAGCTGTAAGAAAGGGACGGCAGGTCACCGGACCATCACCGGAAATCGCGCTGGCGAGATAAGTACCTCCGGTCGTAAAGACATTGCGCCCGCGCCTCGCCGAAATAAGATAACGTCCCGGAAAGAACTGCAGGCCATCAAGTCGACGACGTTTGTGTCCATCCTGTTCGTCTCCTGCAACACGTTCAAGTTGTTGAACTACTACGTCATCCTGTGCGTCCCGGAGTACAAGCTCAACGGTCGTTTTCAGAACACCTACTTCCTGTCCAATAGCTGCAGGATTTTTTTAGAATCCCTGCACATCTCGCTCAACATGTTCGTCTACCTGAAGTTCAACACGCGGTTCAGGTCGACGCTGATGTCCGGCTGTGGGACCGGCTACCTCCATCTTTCAGCCTGGAATTGCCGGTTTACATTCAAATAAGTATTCGATTGAGGCTGTTTTTTGTTGTTTTTTTTTTGCTTCTCGCTAATGGTTATCAGTGAATGACTTTAAAAGTGTTGACGTTTTTTTCAGTAGGTTTTACAAGTAATCTCAGATCACATAACATTAGAGAGAGCCATGATCAATATAAGCACACAAACAATATTATTATGCGATTTTTTTTAAATTTTATTATGGCATTTTCATGTACTAACTAATCATTTTAAAATTTACAAAGTCTTAAATATCATTGTAAGATTGAGAAATATCATTGTTATTATATATATATATATATATATATATATATATATATATATATATATATATATATA